AAGGTATATAAACATCTATAATCTCCCAGACACGTTAGGCCTGCAATCTTTCTCCTGTAGCCTCTAGACCTTGTCAGACAGCCAATATTGTTTGTCACCCTCTCAGTGGCCAGTACTAATCCATTTCCCTCTAGAACAGTAACAGCTACCGCTTCATTTCTTAGAGATAAGCCATCCTGAACCAGAGACATTTCATCTCCTGTTGGTTTTCCCCAAAAATTTAGTTACCTGTTTCATTTTAAGTGTCAGTAGCCTGGTTCCTTCTTGGGACAAGTGAAGGCTGTCTGTTTTATACAGATCCTGCTTGTTCCAAAAAGTATCCCTGTCCTTAACAAAATTAAACCCTTCCTCCTTACACCATTGTCTGATCCACGCATTGAGACTCTTAATTTGTGCCTGTCTAGCTGGCCCTGTGCGTGTAATAGGCAGCACTTATGAGAAGGCTAACTTGGAGTTCCTGGCCTTTAGTCTCCTGGCTAGCAGTCTAAATTTTTTCTCCAGAACCACATGACATTTCCCCACATTGTTGGTGCCAACATGTACCACGACCACTGGTTCCTCCTCAGCACTGTCTACCAGCCTACCTAGATCATGTGTAATGTCTGTTACCTTTGCACCAGGAAGGCAAGTCACCATGAGGTCAGTACGTGAGTTCAAACCCACCTATCTATGTGCCTAAAGACTGAATCACCAAAGAGCCCTCACCCAGGGATGGTTCCTTGGTGTGAAAAAAACCCTGCTCAACAACTGTAGAAGGGGTACCTTCTGAGGGAACATTCTCCCTTTTTTCTGAAAGCAGGTTTTGCCTTTCTAATTGTCTTGCCACATACAGCCTGTTTAGTATATCACATGGAACATAAGGCAGCTAATGAAAATCAAACCTGTTCCTATCTGTAGATCTGGCTGAGAAGTGGAATGCATTTTTTGCCTCTGTCTTCACTGTGGAAGATGAGAAGTACTTGCCCACTCCAGAATCACTGATTTCAGGAGAGGTGCTGAAAGACCTGAGTCAAATTGAGGTGACGAGAGAGGACGTCCTACGACTGATAGACAACTTAAAAACTAGGTGGCATATATCCAAGAGTTCTGAAAGAACTCAAATGTGAACTTGTGGATCTCCTGACAAAAATATGTAATCTTTCATTAACAACTGCCTCCATTCCCAAGGACTGGAAGGTAGCTATTGTCACTCCCATCCTTAAAAAGGGTTCCTGGGAAATTACAGGCCAGTCAGTCTGACGTCAATACTGGATAATTTGGTGGAAACTGTTATTAAGGAAAGAATTAGTAGGCACATTGATGAACAAAACCTATTGAGGCAGACTCAGCATGGGTTCTGTAAGGGAAGATCTTGTCTGACTAACCTATTAGTGTTCTTTGAGGGAGTGAACAAACATATGGACAAGGGGGACCCAATAGATGTTGTTTACCTTGACTTCCAGAAAGCTTTTGATAAAGTTCCTCATCAAAGGTTCCTAAGTAAGCTCAATAGTCATGGGATAAGAGGACAAGTCCTCTTGTGGATCAAAATTGGCTAATTAATAGGCTAATTAATGGGCAATTTTCTCAGTGGAGGGTGATAAGCAGTAGGGTACCACAGGGTTCAGTAC